ACGTGTGTGTAACTATTGCGCATATCTGGGCAATTAGTCTACATAATATTGTATGTATTGTTGTTGTATGTATGTAGTTGTTGTGTGTATTGTTGTTGATTGTATGTATGTAGTTGTTGTTGTATGTATTGTTGTTGTATGTATGTAGTTGTTGTGTGTATGTTGTTGTTGTGTATATGTTGTTGTTGTATGTATTGTTGTTGTTGATTGTATGTATGTGTACGTGGGTGTGTATTTAATCCACATATGTACGCAATTCATCCACACATCAGCAGTCAGTCCACATACCAGCAGTCAATTCACTTATCAGCATATCAGTAAATCCATGTATATGCATAATAAACCCACGAATGCACAATCAATTGGTTAGTTGGGAATGATCATTACCATTTCTGCTAATAAACCTACACTACTAGGATAATAAATACCGCCCAAGCATGCGTGCATCACGCATGGCATCTAACAGAACTAGGATAATAAAATCTAGGTGCCACTGAGGAAACAAAATTGATCCGAGAAATCTGTTGAATCCCTTCTTACAATTGACCGCTTACACTACAATCTGATATTGTAAACTCAATTCCATCTGTTAGGTAGGGTTATTTACCCATTTTCCCACTGCCTTAGGGGAAAATGATACTCTCAGGTAGAAACCAAACATTCATAACATGCATTTTTACGAAATGGAACTGTAACCAGCCGGTATAACAGCATGTGAAAGTGCTCCACTAGCTGCCTAGTATAATAAACTGGTAATTTACTTTGGCAATCATAAAAATTGGACCAGTTAACGGACAGAATAACTGACACAGAGTGTTAGATCGCCACTTCACATTAAACAGACCATTGCTGTATTTATTCAACTCATGATTAAATATGTGGTGTGCAACTGTGTTTTACCTCACGCGATGCAACATATCTGTTATTTGGGGAAATAAAACCAGTATACATACAAGCACAATAAAATAACCTCTTGAGATATGCATAAAACAAAGATAATAATTTCCTGACACATGAGCAGAATGCCATTGTGATCAGCAAACGTGCTGCCACCTATTGGAGGAGACACGACACTAGCGTCTGCACGCACCTCAGCCGAGTCCTCGTCCTTGCCGTAGTCGATGTTGGCCACCAGGGGCTCCTTCTCCCTCATCCAGGACTCGGCTTCATTCGCGTCGGCAAAGTACTGGTGTGCCTCCAGGGAGTCCTGCAGATCCTGCTCCCTCTGCCCAGCCTTATCCTGTAACGCACAATGGCATACTCAGTAAACACTGCTCCATCCATCACATACACCATACGGGAAACAACAGTTACACATGACGTCTTCCACCCTATACAACCACTCTGCCTAACCAAATCCCGCACACCCACGTTAGCACTGGATAAGAGCAAGCAATGGAAAACCTATAAAAAATTAAAATTCGTAACAAAACGCGCTTGCACGGTTTGTACAACATACGTTTCACGCGACCCGAGAATTTGTCGAGACCTTCCGACTGACCTTCAGCTGCTGCCACTTGTCGACGAGGCCGTTGACCTTGGTCGAGATGTCCTCGGCGGCAAAGTGTCCCTCGTTGATCATCTGCTGTCCCTGCTCACAGACGTCCTGCACGTTGTTCTCGTGGCCCCCGATCTCCGCCAGCAGGGCCTGGTGCTTCTTCTGCAAGCCACGCAGAGCCACGCGTGCCGTGAGCATTACAGTTATCGATGCCAAGCAACGCCGGTCTACAAGGTACTAGTGTCTAGCAGCACCGCGAATAGATTGTTTTCTACAGAATTCCCACATGGAACAGCGAAATCGGTTCGCAGCATGGATTCAACTCACAAAAATTAAAGTGGAAAATAATTCCAAAAGTTGAAGTAGATTGCTATTAGCTCAACACAACCCAAGTAGTATCAAGCAGCACCACTTCTTTTGTACAATTCTCGTAAACATCAAACAGTGAAATTTCAAAACACAAAACATCGACATCCAGCACGACCAATAACCCCAAAATTTAACTGACAACTAAAAAAACGCGCTAGACTGACGACATCGATGAGGGTCTAGGACCGGACGCTGGGCGTCGGTCCGCGCGACGACAGTCTACGCTCTCACCTGCAGGTTCTGCACGCCGATGAGGTCGCGGCCGCGGTTGGTCGACGCTGCGATCGGCTCCTTCTCGCGAATCCACGCCTCCTCGTCCTCGATGTCCCTGAACAGCTGCTGCACGCGGATCGAGTCGGCCAGCTTGCCCTTGCGGTCGTCGAGTGGCGACTGGAAGAGACGCCGGCGGTTATTGCTAGTTAAGGGGCGCGCGGGGCGCTACACACGGCTTCGCGGCCGAGCTTCACACAGAGTTAGCAAAGCCTTCGAATAATTACTGCCACCGTAAGCCATTACGTAGGCAGCTCAGAGGACATTCCCATAAGTGTAGTGGGTTGCTGGTTCAATTAATGTGGTGGCGACATAAGTGAATTAATCACTTGGCGGCTCTAGAGGTGCTATTGAATTGGCGGTGAAAGAGGGGCAATTAAATTAGTGGTGACAAAGGTGCAATTAATATGGTTATGCAATTAACTGGTGGTGAGAGGGAGGTAAATTAAATTGACAGTGAATTAATTTGATGGTTTTAAATAGAAGTGCAAATAACAAGTACTGTAGTCATTTGCACTGTGTAGAGTCTCATGAAACTGACTACAATACTTCCGATTTGCAATCTTTTTATCATCTAAGAACAAACGGCAAAGGGAGCTTCAAAATGTTAAAAATAACCTCAATCACGCCATACGGGTAAACAGAACAGCGGAACGTAAAACGGCTTCCCACTCACCTGCTTCTTGTTGTTGATGGTATCATCCTCCGGGTGTCCGTCCTGGATCAGCTTCTCGCCGGTCTGGTTCACCTCGTTCACGCGGTCCTCGTAGTTGACCAGGTCCTTCTGGAAGTCGTCGAACTTCTTCTGCATTATCTCGACGTGCTCCAGGTCGACTCCAAACTCCTCGGCCGTCACGTATGCCTCCTGCAACGACGCGCGCGCAATGTTAGCATGCGTATGACTACATACGGTGCATCTACACATACATTTCTGCATGTAATATGTGCACCTTTACCCTGTCTGCAATTGCACCCCTTACAAATAGAGCTACCTCATCAGAAAAACAGGTAAATGTTAAAACCTGCTGTAATGCGTATATATATATATATACACACACATATATATAGACATATATAAATGTGTTACATTTACTCCGACTTGTGGACATGAAAATCAATAATTAATCAATGTGTCACACGGCATCAGCTCGTGTGAGCGACAGCCCCCGTCGCGCTGTAGACCGCTCGCGGGGCCGGCGACCGACGGCGGCGTACCTTGTCGGTGATCCAGTAGAGCACGTCGTCACACTCGCGCAGGTACTGCACCAGCTTCTGTGCCTGCTCCAGCCGCAGCCCCTTCTCTCTCAGCCTCTCCAGCAGCAGCGCCCACAGACGGTGAAGCTCCTCCAGACGCATCTGCAAGAAGAGAGCGTTGCCGACGCATACAGACCACCACCGGTGTGCGACAAACGCGAGACCACCGTGCTGTTCATCCATCCCGACCCGCCTACTGCTGCTTACGGTCTCACACGGGGTCGTGCGGACGAGGGCTCGCGGTGACTGCCGAGTGGTGGAGTTTCGTTCCGACATGTGCGCGAGAGAACATGCCACGGGGTCCACGGGTGGCGATTCCGCACGTGCCCAGCGGTCACCCGACTACACCCAGACCACAACAGTAAAAGAAGGCCGCCCATGTGCGCGAGGTGGAGTGTCTGGTTGGAGCACTGCGAGGCATACTACACCGCCGATGGCGCCCGGAAAGGAAAAACATCGTGAAGCGGACCCCTGGCACGCTGAGCCAGGTCGCGTCACGGCGGCGCGCTTACACCGTTGTAGGGTGGTCATTGGTCCGCGACCACTTGGGAGCCGTGGCGGGATGCGTGGCGGCCGCAGTGATTCGTACGACGGGACAGCGCGGTCGAAGGGTGCTGGGTAGCCTCGCAAACCTTAGCACACACGCTTGAACGAGCTGATTCCCTTGCGTTAATTTGCATGTCGAAGTCGTGCGCGGCTGCCACGACGGTGATATTCTGGGACTTCCGCAAAATACAACATGACATTTTCGCGGCCAGACCCCACTTAACTTAAACCTTAACACAGATATACACACATGCACAGTTAAAGTGACGCATTTTCTCACCCTCAAGTATGACATAATTTCCCCATTTATATGCGGTAAACTAATAATCTTTCCAGTATTACACATGCATTGCTGGTAACTGCCTGCCTCCATCAATAAGCATTACGCATGACGGCTGAAAGCAACTAAAATCATAACAGGCACGAAAAATCACGACGCGGACGGACCGGCTACAGTCAAAGCCATTATAAATTTATTATGCCATACACAGCTACGACAATTAGTTATAACATGCTTGCTAAGTAATAATTTAACGAGAGCACCGATCGAATTTTGCAAATCTCGCCAAATCAGTAAAATATAGGGCCCGCGACAGAGCGTGAATTCAATGCCATGCAGCTTCCTCATATAAATTTAACACAGCAGATTATCTAGCTAGCAAACTGACAACAGAAAAAACACAACAGACGAGAGGTCCAAGGGAGCAACAAGCTGGTCGCATATCGACGAGCCTATTTTGTGGAACTATTGAGTACTAGAAACGGCACATCTGTGACTGCCAACGCCCGGCTTGACGCAAAGTGGTTCATGCATTCATTTTAATGAAGTAAACATGATATGCACGACTTTTAATTTGACGTGGCTTGTTGATATTTGGCTGTAATCCTTCAATGAATATAACAGTCGGTGATACCACCTTCCATCTGATTTATTCATCCTTAAAATGTCGGCGCACACAATCATAAATAACCCCCTCCCCACCCCACCCAGCTAGCCTGAACACATTCAGATAGCTGGCCTTTTACTGAGTACTCCAATGTTTCCACTCCCTGTTATGAAACTCCCGTTTTTCTCACAATTCCCGCCTAATACTTTGGCACGGCTTAGAATATATTCCAGTGTACTGTAATGTGCCTCCCACCCAGGCTTACCTGTATCGCGACAGCCTGTTTCCAGTTCTGCCTGCTATCTCAGCCTGCCCTTCGACTGCGATCTGATCTGCATGCTCGGGTGTTGACGTCCCTCAGCCTCGTCAGCCGTCCCTTGCGAACAAAACTCACTCAGCCCGTGCTTGACCTACAGACACCAGACAACCAGTTAGGCACCTGCATTCACCCCACTATTTACGCCAATTTACAGCTACGGTAGGACTAATACCATTACTGTAGCCCTCTATCTATGTATACCTATTGCTCCTAGCTCTATTTATGTACAGGCTATTTGTAGCTCTAATCTATGCTACAGCTATGCCCTAGCTCTATCTATGTACCAGCGCTAGGTAGCTCTATCTATGTACACGCTATGTAGCTCGTAATCTAGTACAGCTATGTAGCTCTATCATGTACAGCTATGCTAGCTCTTTATATCTATGTACAGCTATGCTACAGCTATGTAAGCTCTATCTATGCTACAGACTGTGAGATCTATCTATGTACAGCTATTGCTAGTCTTATCTATTACAGCTATCGATAAGCTCTATCTATGTACAGGCTATGTAGCATCTGATCTTATTACAGCTATGTAGCGGCTATCTATGTATAGCTATGTAGCCTCTATAACTATGTATAAGCTATGTAGCTCTATCTATGTACAGCCTATGTAGCAGAAGATTATCTAGATAGCTATGTAGCCTCTATCGATGTACAGCTATGTAGTGTCTATCTACTGTACAGCTATGTAGGCTATCTATGTACAGCTATGCTAGGGTCTATCTATGCTACCAGCCTATTGTGCTCGTATCTATGCTACAGCTATGTAGTCTAGTCTGTGTATAGCTATGTACGGCTCTATCTAGTACAGCTATGTAGCTTCTATCTATGTACAGCTATGTAGGTCTATCTTATGTATAGCTATGTAGCCTCCTATCTATGCCTATAGCTATGTAGCGTCTATCAGTATGCTCCCTATTCAAGCTTTATAAGCAGCCTTTATCTCCCTAATAGTATGAGCCAGCTATGTACCTCTATCATAATCTGCTATCTAGCCTAGCTTGCTCCAAGCTCTCTCATCTTATTGCAAAGCCGACCTACTTTTGCTCTTGCATTCTAGTCCTTAGCCCTTAAATCATAGTGGAATACACGAGCTATGTTAGCTCTCTATCTATGTACAGCCCTATGATTTAGGTGCCCATTTCTTCTATTGACTAACTTCTGGTAGCGCTCCTATTCTTTATGCTTGACAGCTATGGTAGCGCGCTCTCTAGTAATGCTTAAGGACCATAGAGTCCTGGTAAGACTGCCGTGATCCTGTACATGACTAAGAGCAGCGTAAATACATCGACGTATATCTAGTATCATTCTTTAATACAGTATGTTAGATCTGTGCTATACGTTGATGTACATTGTTCGGTTCACGACGGCTGATAACTTAGTGTCGTCATTGCCATTGACTTGCCACCGTAAGCATGACACATTTAAGATCGCTCGCGCGGACGTATAGTCAATATTATGGCCCACATGTCGAGCGGAAATGCGAAATGGTCATGCCGAGAAAAAAGACGCCAGAGCTAGGCGTCCACCAGCACGAGCGCTGGTGATTCGAGACGGCGAGCGTCCAAACCGATGGTCGCCACTGACTTGAAGAGGCCCCGCGAGGCGCCGTCGTGCTTACCTTGCAGCGCCTGCACGCCTTCGCTCGAGGTCCTGACGACGTCGTCCGACGACATAGACTGGCCGTCCTTCTCGTTGCATCCACGCCAGCATTGCGTAATATTCGCGTCCGGCGTCGAGACAGTGTGGGCCGCCATCTCTCGAAGCGCTGGATCTCGCAGTAACTGCGCCCAGTGAGTAGCAGCTGCCAAGGAATTGCCGATACACATATGGACAGCACAGGGGCCGCTCTTGGCGGATAGGCAAGTCCGTCTAAAAGGGCGTAGTCCTCTCCAGCTCTCCTGCATGCGTCGCTTCACGCTTCCTAGCAGGATGTAACCACGCGGGGATATGATAGCCGCGGGATACGACGCACAAAGAGATGACACAGAGTTGATGCTAGGGATGAGACGCAGGCCAGTTGACCCAGGCATGAATCCGCACGGTGTTGACGCCCATGCATTTGACGCCCAAGCGGCATAATGCAAGACGACTGACGCAGGCGGATGGACGCAGGGATGACGCCGAAAGCCCGGGAAAGCGTCTCTCCCAACCCGAAAAGTGGCCGAACCGTCCTAAGCGCCTGCGCTGTACAACGCTGGGTTTCGTCTCAGATAGCGCTCCCAGTGCGCGTTACGATCAATAACCCGAAAATTATTTATTCGTAAAAAACATTAACCTTGTGCCAAGTTTTGGGCTTCATATTGGGCGCGAAAATTTCATAAATTACAGTTTCAATTGCGAACCAAAAATTGCTCTTCAGTGTAAAAAATACCAGTTCGAGTCATGAAACTAAGTAATATCTGCCTGTTGTGAATTGTAATTTTAACCTTAGTCTTTGTCTGTGAGATGGGTATGTACTATGTATACAGAACCAACCTGCAGACACCCACCCAGATTAACCCCTCGTTACACTGTTGTTCCTTGACCACCGTGTAGCCACATCGAGACAGCCGAACGCCCAGCGATGTACGTGTGAGCGAGCATATAAAGACTGATCGTGACTTACATTCTTTTTAGTAATATACACGACACAAACCTGCAGATTTAGCGGAAATTGTGAGAGGCTTCCGAACCAAGTAATCTAGAGAATGGCAAGGGTTTGATTCGCGCTACGATGTCTCGTGGCACCTTGAACGGCAGCTGCGTTGATAACACCGAAGCCACACAGCAATCGCCTTATAACACGAATTATGCGCTTAAAATGCACTTGATAGAACATACTCTTTCAAGAATTCCATGACACCAGTGCAAAATTGCACTGCGCTCAAGGGCGACCCGAGTAATCCAACAGAAATTCTAAGGCTATAACAAGAAGGACCCCATTCCTCCGGGGCAGAGCACAGCCCACTTAATCTGGTGTTGTCTGTTTTTTTTCCATTTCCACGAGCCCACCGCGGTACACCAAGTTTCCCACCGCGATTACTTGTTACTTGGGCCCACGTACCTCTTAGAGCGACGCTCAGAACAAAAGCAGTAACGTGACTGCGAACTGCACACCCACCTCCACCGAGACCACCATCTTTCTACCCACAGTGCAAGCCAAGCAATAGTAGACTCCGCGGCTCTGCGTGCCTCACGCCGCATTGACGAGCAACCTTACGTCCTGGGCTTGCGAATCCCTAATTGTACAGAACCCTCTCGGTGCGTCCATGCATCGTCCTTTCTTTCGTAATACCAACCACCCACCTCTAGCCGTCCATCACGCAGGCGCGCGACACCCGCACACAACGCACCAGCCACGGAATCCGCTGCATGCTAGACCCCGTAGAGCCGGAAAAATAACGCCATCCGGGCGCATGGAAAACCAAAATCACAGTTGCCACAGCGCAAGTTGGAGGGTGCCGAGACGAACATTGCCAAGGCCTTTTTATGTTACGGAGAAGACAAAAGGCGCACACGCAACGGTGTATTTATGGGCGAATCTGAGAAGCGGCCGACCTAATCTGGTTCGTCTGTATTTCGCGACACGCATCAGCGGTGAATCCTCTGCTGCCTGAATCACGGGTGTCAATGTCCTTTCAACCATGCTAAACCACCAGAGACATGACATCAAACTACCTAAATCCGCGGGCTGCCCACATCCGGCACGGGCATGCCGTATCTCGCCGACGCGATCTCATAAACTAACTCGGACCGACGCGGTACGCACGTGCACGCCACAGCGCGTGGCACTCTGGCACCCCTCAGCCCTCACACGCCCTCTAAGGCTCGTTGCATCGCCGGTATTCAACGCCCCCCTCCGGACGCCCCCGTGTCACGTTCCACTCGCCCACGTTTCACAGCCTTCTCAGTAGCCCAGCAGGAACTCCTGGGTTTAACAACCGAGTCTGCACAACCCGCCAACACCCAACCCGCACCCAACCAGCCCAACCAAACAACCTTTTGAGCATTCCGGCACAGATGCCCCTCCCCTACACACACACACACACACACACACGCCACCAGGGTAAAAAATACACGGGAGCGATGAGCGATGAGCTCTTCAAACATCCGAAATCGCTCCCGTGAGGCTCAAAATAGCTCCCGTAAAATTTTTGGCGAGAATTATTTCCCCCACAGACTTTTGAAAAGGAGCTCCCGTGACAAAAAAGAAATTTTTCCCCTGCACCCCACCCTGTGACCACCCTCGTGTGCACGCCAGTAGGGGGCGCTGCTCACCTCCTGCTTGGCCATCCAGGTGTCGGCCTGCTCGGTGTCGCGGTAGAACAGCTGCAGGTCCATGCACTGCTCGTAGAGGATGCGCCGCTCCTCCCACAACGTGAGCAGCGAGTCCTTCTCGTTGGCGAGCACGACGAGCTTCTCACGAACGTCGTCGACGTTCTGTCCCAGCTCCAGCAGCTTGTCGCCGGACTCCACCGTCGCCTGGTAGCTGTCCTCCCGCGCGTCAATCTCTCCCTGCAGACAGAGAGAGAGACGCATCAAGCCACGGCTCGACGGCATCGCAGAGATGCCTACACATATTTGAAGCAATCTGTAGTTTCTGGCCATCAAATTAGTAGTTCGAGGGTCACGTAGTGACCAGAGTTTGCTAGGGGGGTCCGACATGCCCCCCGGAAAAATTTTTGATTATGAGATGCAATTTCCTGCATTCTGAAGGTCAAAAATGACAATAAATTGACAAAAAAATGGCAATAATTGAAAAAAAAATAAATAATTTCGATCACAGTGAAATTCGTAGTTTGATACAAACTGGTCGTAGTGGTGAAAAGGAATAGAAATTCGTATAAAATACGGATAAATCGTAGTGGTTGGCATCTCTGGCGTCGCCAATCGCTGCCTGCCTGCCCACACTCGCGGCTATCGTTTGTTTGTTAGTTTTGAAAAAAATAAAATAACATGGCAGTCGGAGTGTGCGCTGAAAGGATCGTTTCCGCTGACTTCGATTATCGCCTGAATATGCAAATGTTGCGCGGCTGCTCACCACATGCTGAGGCTCGTCGCTATCTCAAATCGCTATGGGTTAATAATAAGTCTGATCTGCTTGAGACTGCCTTGCACAACCAGAGGAAGATGGCCACTGAACTACATTGGCTGCATTGCAAGGAATATCCAGCATGACATAGCGGACATGCTGACACTGACGATGGACAAACATATATTCATGGCATGGCATTGTGAACTGTATCTCGGATGCGTCCGCTGAGTAGTAGTAGTAGTAATAATAAGTTTGGGATAAGTTGATAATCGTTACTGGTAATCATCGCCTGTCACTAAGCACTCGCTGCCAGCACTAATTGCTTGAGACTAGTCTACTACTACGTTGTGTGGCTTTGCACCTCAACGCTTTAGTCTACTACTGCTGCTGCTGCTGCTGCTGCTGCTGCTGCTGCTGCTGCTGCTACTGCTGTTGCTGCTGCTACTGCTACTGCTACTTCTATTACTACTACTACTGTTGCTACTGCTGCTACTGCTATACATTGGGTGGATTTGCACCTTAATGCTCTAGTGTGCTGCTACTGCTGCTGCTACTACCGCTACTACTACCGCTTCCACTACTACTACCACACATTGCATGGCTTCGCACCTTGTGCTCGGCGTGGCGCTCCAGCAGGGCCTCGGCGCCGGCGACATCCTTGGCGAGCTCGTCGGCCGAGATGATGGCCTTCATGTCGCGGATCCACGAGACGAGGTCGCGGAAGTCCGAGAAGAAGCGCTGCAGGAAGTAGCTGTCGTCCAGCCACGCCTTGCGGTCCCTCGCCTGCAGCGAACACGCACACAATGGCTCAACGCCGACCCGAGACAATGGACTAGTAGCAACCCGTATCTGGCCATTATGCCCCCTATCCTGGCGTACTATAGCATGTACTGCTGCCATCTATCCCTAATCCTGCGCATCCTATGCGCGTATCTCCATCTATCCCACTGCCTGCATCCTATAGCGGCGTAATCTGCGCATCTATCCTATCGCTCATCGTATAAGCGCGTATCTCCATCTAATCGCCCTATCCTGCATCCTGATAACACGGGCGGTTTTATGCTGCCATCTATCCCGCCATCCTTGGCATCTATAGCGGCGTACTCGCATCTAATCCCCCTATCGCTGCATCTATAGCGCGTATCTGCCATCTATCCCCTATCTGCATCTATAGCGGTATCTCCATCTATCCCAATGCTGCATGCTATAGCGCGTATGCTACCATCTATCCCTATCCGTACATCTATCCCCCATCCTGCAATCTATAGCGCGTATCTCCATTCTATCCCCTATCCTCGGCGCATCTATGGCGTATCTGCCATCTATCCCTGATCCTGCCATATGCTATAGGCGCGTGATCTCGATCTATCCCTATCCTGCATCTAAGCGCGTATCTCATCTATCCCCCGTCCTGCATCTATAGCGCGCACACGATGCCGGTGTGGTCTGTATGCACTCGGCCATGCTCATCTGGCCTTGCAGCAGTTGCGTCTGGGAGGAGGCTTGTCACCCGTCTGTGGGCCTGCTGGCGCTGGAGAGGCTGAGGAGAGAAGGGGCTGCGGCTGGAGCAGGCACAGGAAGCTGGTGCAGTAAACCGTGCGCGAGGTGTGAGCGACGTGGCTCTACTGGATCACCGACAGAGGTAGCGCCGCCCGTGCGGTCCGCGGCCCCGCTTGGGGTCGTACCAGCGCAGCGGGGGCTGTCGCTCACACGAGCTGATGCCGGTGTGACACATTGATTAATTATTGATTGATTCATGTCGCCAGTCAGAGGTAAATGTAACACATTTATAGTATGTCTATATATATGTGGTGGTGTGTATATATATATAATATACGCCTTGGTATAGCAGGTTTAACATTTACCTGCTTTTCTGATGAGTAGCCCTATTTGCTAAGGGGTGAGCAATGTGCAGACAGTGGTAAAGGTGCACATATTTAGCATGGGCAGAAATGTATGTGTAGATGCACCCGTATGTAGACATACGCATGCCTAACATTTGGCGCGCAGTTGGCATCGTTGCAGGAGGCATACGTGAACGGCGCGAGGAGCCATTTGGAGTCGAGCTGGAGGCATCTGTCGAGATAATGCAGAAGAAGTTCGACGACTTCGCAGAAGACCTGGTGCAACTACGAGGACCTGCGTGAACGCATCTGTGCCGGAATGCTCAAAAGGTTGTTTGGTTGGGCTGGTTGGGTGCGGGTTGGGTGTTGGCGGGTTGTGCAGACTCGGTTGTTAAACCCAGGAGTTCCTGCTGGGCTACTGAGAAGGCTGTGAAACGTGGGCGAGTGGAACGTGACACGGGGGCGTCCGGAGGGGGGCGTTGAATACCGGCGATGCAACGAGCCTTAGAGGGCGTGTGAGGGCTGAGGGGTGCCAGAGTGCCACGCGCTGTGGCGTGCACGTGCGTACCGCGTCGGTCCGAGTTAGTTTATGAGATCGCGTCGGCGAGATACGGCATGCCCGTGCCGGATGTGGGCAGCCCGCGGATTTAGGTAGTTTGATGTCATGTCTCTGGTGGTTTAGCATGGTTGAAAGGACATTGACACCCGTGATTCAGGCAGCAGAGGATTCACCGCTGATGCGTGTCGCGAAATACAGACGAACCAGATTAGGTCGGCCGCTTCTCAGATTCGCCCATAAATACACCGTTGCGTGTGCGCCTTTTGTCTTCTCCGTAACATAAAAAGGCCTTGGCAATGTTCGTCTCGGCACCCTCCAACTTGCGCTGTGGCAACTGTGATTTTGGTTTTCCATGCGCCCGGATGGCGTTATTTTTCCGGCTCTACGGGGTCTAGCATGCAGCGGATTCCGTGGCTGGTGCGTTGTGTGCGGGTGTCGCGCGCCTGCGTGATGGACGGCTAGAGGTGGGTGGTTGGTATTACGAAAGAAAGGACGATGCATGGACGCACCGAGAGGGTTCTGTACAATTAGGGATTCGCAAGCCCAGGACGTAAGGTTGCTCGTCAATGCGGCGTGAGGCACGCAGAGCCGCGGAGTCTACTATTGCTTGGCTTGCACTGTGGGTAGAAAGATGGTGGTCTCGGTGGAGGTGGGTGTGCAGTTCGCAGTCACGTTACTGCTTTTGTTCTGAGCGTCGCTCTAAGAGGTACGTGGGCCCAAGTAACAAGTAATCGCGGTGGGAAACTTGGTGTACCGCGGTGGGCTCGTGGAAATGGAAAAAAAACAGACAACACCAGATTAAGTGGGCTGTGCTCTGCCCCGGAGGAATGGGGTCCTTCTTGTTATAGCCTTAGAATTTCTGTTGGATTACTCGGGTCGCCCTTGAGCGCAGTGCAATTTTGCACTGGTGTCATGGAATTCTTGAAAGAGTATGTTCTATCAAGTGCATTTTAAGCGCATAATTCGTGTTATAAGGCGATTGCTGTGTGGCTTCGGTGTTATCAACGCAGCTGCCGTTCAAGGTGCCACGAGACATCGTAGCGCGAATCAAACCCTTGCCATTCTCTAGATTACTTGGTTCGGAAGCCTCTCACAATTTCCGCTAAATCTGCAGGTTTGTGTCGTGTATATTACTAAAAAGAATGTAAGTCACGATCAGTCTTTATATGCTCGCTCACACGTACATCGCTGGGCGTTCGGCTGTCTCGATGTGGCTACACGGTGGTCAAGGAACAACAGTGTAACGAGGGGTTAATCTGGGTGGGTGTCTGCAGGTTGGTTCTGTATACATAGTACATACCCATCTCACAGACAAAGACTAAGGTTAAAATTACAATTCACAACAGGCAGATATTACTTAGTTTCATGACTCGAACTGGTATTTTTTACACTGAAGAGCAATTTTTGGTTCGCAATTGAAACTGTAATTTATGAAATTTTCGCGCCCAATATGAAGCCCAAAACTTGGCACAAGGTTAATGTTTTTTACGAATAAATAATTTTCGGGTTATTGATCGTAACGCGCACTGGGAGCGCTATCTGAGACGAAACCCAGCGTTGTACAGCGCAGGCGCTTAGGACGGTTCGGCCACTTTTCGGGTTGGGAGAGACGCTTTCCCGGGCTTTCGGCGTCATCCCTGCGTCCATCCGCCTGCGTCAGTCGTCTTGCATTATGCCGCTTGGGCGTCAAATGCATGGGCGTCAACACCGTGCGGATTCATGCCTGGGTCAACTGGCCTGCGTCTCATCCCTAGCATCAACTCTGTGTCATCTCTTTGTGCGTCGTATCCCGCGGCTATCATATCCCCGCGTGGTTACATCCTGCTAGGAAGCGTGAAGCGACGCATGCAGGAGAGCTGGAGAGGACTACGCCCTTTTAGACGGACTTGCCTATCCGCCAAGAGCGGCCCCTGTGCTGTCCATATGTGTATCGGCAATTCCTTGGCAGCTGCTACTCACTGGGCGCAGTTACTGCGAGATCCAGCGCTTCGAGAGATGGCGGCCCACACTGTCTCGACGCCGGACGCGAATATTACGCAATGCTGGCGTGGATGCAACGAGAAGGACGGCCAGTCTATGTCGTCGGACGACGTCGTCAGGACCTCGAGCGAAGGCGTGCAGGCGCTGCAAGGTAAGCACGACGGCGCCTCGCGGGGCCTCTTCAAGTCAGTGGCGACCATCGGTTTGGACGCTCGCCGTCTCGAATCACCAGCGCTCGTGCTGGTGGACGCCTAGCTCTGGCGTCTTTTTTCTCGGCATGACCATTTCGCATTTCCGCTCGACATGTGGGCCATAATATTGACTATACGTCCGCGCGAGCGATCTTAAATGTGTCATGCTTACGGTGGCAAGTCAATGGCAATGACGACACTAAGTTATCAGCCGTCGTGAACCGAACAATGTACATCAACGTATAGCACAGATCTAACATACTGTATTAAAGAATGATACTAGATATACGTCGATGTATTTACGCTGCTCTTAGTCATGTACAGGATCACGGCAGTCTTACCAGGACTCTATGGTCCTTAAGCATTACTAGAGAGCGCGCTACCATAGCTGTCAAGCATAAAGAATAGGAGCGCTACCAGAAGTTAGTCAATAGAAGAAATGGGCACCTAAATCATAGGGCTGTACATAGATAGAGAGCTAACATAGCTCGTGTATTCCACTATGATTTAAGGGCTAAGGACTAGAATGCAAGAGCAAAAGTAGGTCGGCTTTGCAATAAGATGAGAGAGCTTGGAGCAAGCTAGGCTAGATAGCAGATTATGATAGAGGTACATAGCTGGCTCATACTATTAGGGAGATAAAGGCTGCTTATAAAGCTTGAATAGGGAGCATACTGATAGACGCTACATAGCTATAGGCATAGATAGGAGGCTACATAGCTATACATAAGATAGACCTACATAGCTGTACATAGATAGAAGCTACATAGCTGTACTAGATAGAGCCGTACATAGCTATACACAGACTAGACTACATAGCTGTAGCATAGATACGAGCACAATAGGCTGGTAGCATAGATAGACCCTAGCATAGCTGTACATAGATAGCCTACATAGCTGTACAGTAGATAGACACTACATAGCTGTACATCGATAGAGGCTACATAGCTATCTAGATAATCTTCTGCTACATAGGCTGTACATAGATAGAGCTACATAGCTTATACATAGTTATAGAGGCTACATAGCTATACATAGATAGCCGCTACATAGCTGTAATAAGATCAGATGCTACATAGCCTGTACATAGATAGAGCTTATCGATAGCTGTAATAGATAAGACTAGCAATAGCTGTACATAGATAGATCTCACAGTCTGTAGCATAGATAGAGCTTACATAGCTGTAGCATAGCTGTACATAGATATAA